CCAAAGACAGACATTCCCTCTTTGGAGAAGTGGATGCCAGAAAGAGCAAACACTGAGAATTTTAGCCAGGCCTCTGGGAATGTTAAATATGTTAAACAACTCCATATGTGTACCGAATGTACTGTAATCATTATATGTGAAAGCAGTTCCTTAGAAATTTCTATGGATGACAGTGAAAAAAAAAACATATCAGCAGATAAGCAAGGAACCATGATTTTGCAACCCTGCAGTTTGCCCCCAACATGCAAACCCAACCACAGACACGCACAATCACATCCACATATATTTATGGATCTAAATATGCTGTGTTTTGAGTTGTATTCAATATCTCTATAAAAGTGCTGCTACAGACGAGAGGTCCAATTTCCTGCTTTGTTGGCTACATTGTCATTACTCAGCGGTTGTTTTGAAACGGGGCATGTCTGTAGCACTCCTCACATGAGGGATTGTGTGGATCCTCTCCAAAACATGACACACACACACACACACACACACACACACACACACACACACACACACACACACACACACACACACAGACACACACAAACACACACACAACCACACAACCACACACACACGCGCAAACTCAACACACACGCACAGTCACTCACTTGTGCCTCGTCACAAAGAGATCAAGCTGGACATGCTGGTGTGTGATTTGCTCTGGCAACTGAAAGCCAGCGATTGGTTACTGGCGCGTTCAGATAGCAGATTGTGGTTGCTTTCAGATTTCCTCCCCCACAGCCGGCCTGTGGGGGTAGCGAACGTCTGCAGTCTCGTTTTCCTCTTTTCTTAAAACTTATTTTTAAGACTGTGGCATTAAACAGCATACAGTAGGGAGTGACAGGCCAGATGGAGGAGACAGAGGGGAAAGGTCGTGAACTCAGGCCAAGCAGGGCGAGATTACCGCCATCTGCTTTTCTTCTGACTGGACCAAATCTCATTAAATGTGGCCGAGCAACCATTCAAGGTGCAAACCACATTACAAATATAGCGTGTCAATATAATGTATGAGCAGTGATGGAAGAATTTACTTTGTTTTCTTAGGTAAAACTTGGAATACCACGCTGTAATCAAGTAAACCTAGACGTGAAGGTCCTGCATTGAAAAACTTAGCAAAACATCAAACTACTCATGTACTATATAAAAGCTGTAGTTGGTCAAGTTGGGACTTATTTTAACTGCTTCATATACAGGTCAATCAATACAACAAGGCATCACATTGATCATATGTTTATATCTAAAATCTTGCTCTGCAAAGTGACTAGTAACTAAATCAAATGGCGTGAAAAGGCTAATATTTCCATGTATGTGGTGGAGTAGAAGTCAAAGCAAATCAAAAGAAAAATAATCACCAACTATTTTGATGATGGATTAATTGTTTGTCATTTTTTTAAAACAAAAATGTTAAACATTCCTTGGGTCCAGCTTTTCAAATGTGAGGATTTGCTGTTTAGATTTTTCTGACAGTAAATTAAGTAGTTTTAGGTTTTGGACTGTTGGTCAGACAAAACAAGAAAATTGAAGGCATCACATTTTTTTTTAAACACTTCATAGGGTGAACTGAGAAATAATTAACAGATCAATCAATAATTAAAATAACTGTTAGTTGCAGCCCACTCAAGTAAAGTGCAGGAACCTAAAACAGCATTTGAGTAAATGTAGTTAATTACATTCCACCACTGTAAATGCCTTATTGCATAATCCATAATTTTTTTTAAATGTAATTTAGTCCCAGGCAAGGAGTAATACATCCCACATGTATGTAGCTGTAACTATAACAGCATTCTTTTTCTTCTAGCAATAGTCTGCAGGGAAAACACAATTCACAGGAAATTAATAGCTAGGGATAAATTGTGGCACCACAGTATGAATGTCTGTGTAAAATACAAAAGAGCCGAGACATCCGGGAAGTGACGCCCGCGAAAGAATGAGCCCCACTGACAGAAACCCTCTGCAGCATGACTTGCAGTTTGCTGACTTACTGTAAAATGATGAGAGTGCAGCAGGAGCATAAGCAGACAAATACAGAAACACAATGGTTGTCCTGAGGAAAGTAAGAGGAAAAACAGTGAACAGGATACTGCTGTCCACCAAATTCAGCTTTCCCATTAAGAAATAACTTAGAATTAAGCCTCAGTGTCTAAGTGCATGTATACTATAAGTGTATGTCAGTGTCAGGAGAGCGCGTGTTTGCATGCTCATGCCAACGAGCAGGTTTCTGTCTCTATGTCCCCCTGTAATTATCCCATCCTCCACCAATCTGCGTGTGCGGAGTGCTGAGCCAGCTTGGACCGGGATCTGCGGCCAGTGCAGTGGGAATTTCTTTGGCACAGAGTTTCCTGGCTGACATTGGGCACGGGGACGGAAGAGGGTTGGGCGGCATTCCCAACTACTCTGGTTGAACGGATGGACAGACAGATGACAGGATTGATGGGGTAATTAAAGCTTAGCGGAGTCTTTAACTTCCACATACACACATGCTCTAACAGTGCAACAGGCAGTGCATTAGTCTATGTCAAATTCCCCTGATAATCCTGTTATCAGCTCCAAGCTACAACATACACACTTCAGTCTTTCTTCCTCACTCCATATTCCTCTTCTTTGTCTTTTCTTCCTCTTTCTCCAAACTTTCTACTATCATCATTCCTTCTTCCCAAAACCATAAATACATACAGTAAATGCTGGGTGGGGTAGAGTATAAAATGGGGGTTAAATTTGGCTCAGTATAAATCCAAATACACACTCTTGTTGCTGTGCTTGCGCACGTTTGTGTGTGGGTGTGTGTATAATTACAGGTGTCAGTCTTGCTGCAGGTAATTGACACATCAGTAGAGCAAAAAATATGATTAACAAAACAAAATATGAATTTCTTCCAGAAAGTTGCACATCTACAACACACTAGACCTTATATGTTCTCCGAAATGATAACTCATCTGTGTGTCATTTTATGGCTAAAAACATGTTATAATCCTGTTGGGAACTCTCTCAACTGTCAAACACACAAAAGCACCACAAAATGCAAAACTGTGCAACAGTCAGAGTCTATTTAATTCTTAAAAAGGCTTCTAGCACATTATTGTCCTTTCACAAATCTGTGAAATCATGCAAACTGACCTGTGTAGTTATTTTCAACTAAGACCAATATACTTTTGTGACTATAATGATATGATTGTGCTGTTTTAATGTTGTTTGGAGAAAATAAACTATAATCTTTGGAAAACATATTTTCTGGCTGAAATCTGGTCCAACAGATGGCAGCCATAAACAGCTCTGTGCTTTTTAGACCAGTTAAAGAATATGTGTTCACTGGTTGGTTTTATGAGTTTGTGAACTTTTGCACCAAGCCCTCTCCTCTCTGTTCCACTCCAACTCCACTTTGGTGACAAACAAATAAATTATATATTTGCAGAGCCAGTGTATAAAAGAAAAAAAACAAGCCAAAAAAAAAAATTAACAGCAAATTCATTAAAACATGCTTTGGCCAAACCAAAAGAAAGCCCTGCGATATCTTTCAACATCTGCCACCCAGAACAAACACATACTGTATATAGACACACATACATCAAGTTTTTCCTACAAGAGGACATGAAGGACTGAAAGTGCTTGACAGGAAACAGGACATTTTATAGCCTATTTCACTCTGTCTAAAAGAGGCAATATCAGATATTTTAAATGGTTTGTACATTGAACTCTCTGTTCACTTGAGCTGTGACTAGACAGTAGTGATGAGTAAACTTTGTAAAATCCTTCCTCAAAATGACAGCATCATAACCATATAGATACATGCCAGTGAAGCTGTACATGGCCCTCTTCTGGTGGAAGTGTGTGTGCGTGTGTGTGTGCGTGTGTGTGTGCGTGTGTGTGTGTATAGTTGTCTGTGAGAGAAGTCGAAAGCCTCTTATTGTTACAAGCGTACAGGAATTTGGACTCGGACAATGGAAGCTCTCTGCCAAAAATGACAGTCTCATCTTGGTGCTTGTGTAGGTGCTTGTCCTCATTACGCAGCAGTACATCCTGCCAAAACCTCAGCAGTATGGTGTAGTATGTGATGGCTATGATACACAACTTAAAAAGAGCAGTTGTGAGCAAACAGACTGCAACAGATAAAAGTGTGTGAGGGACACATGTCAATATTAATACCACACACACATACACACTTTTTCTTTTTAATCTCTATGCATCATTCTTTTACAGTAAGTATGGCTTTTGTTATATGCATTGTGTAAGTTGGTTTGGACTGGACTGGTCAGCTGGCTTTGATGTGCATCATCCATATAATAAAGGATAGTTTGAGTTTGAAAATAAAGCAGAGCCAGCTACTCTTCACTTCATTAAAAAGAGAGGAGGAGGATCATACTACCAGTGAGGTCATCACGTACCCATGACAGTGCGTCAAGCATGCACTCACTCTGTCATTAGAGAGCACACACACAGTGGTTTCCATGGTTATTATAAGTCTATTAAATGAACAGAATTACAAGTGTTCGGTTGGTTATGGCATAATAACCGGAATAATCCACTACGTTACCAAAACCAGGGGCTGGCAAATTCTCCATAGGCTAAATGCTATCGTTAACTTTTAGTGACTAGCCTGTACGAACATCACAGCACAATGCTAGGTCTGTACTATGAAAGTCACAGCAGATAAATAAAATATACAGCCACAGAACTTGCGCATACACACTGACAAACTAAGTCAATTTGTTCATCTAAAGTCTTGAGCCATAAACCAGTTGAAACAAACTGCTGGAACTCCGTCCAGAAGTATTTATAGGTAGGTTATCAGTAGCTTATGTGCCATACCGTACCCCATAAGGCACACGAAGTCATATGAACACTTACCGCCGCACGCAACTCTGGTCATAACGGTCGGACAGGCTTTGCGGCGAGAAAAGCTCCATACGAGTCGGCAGTGACTGATGTAACTTAACTACTGGCTTCAGCAGACATTCAGACAGTTACTACAAGGTGAAAAAAAAAGTTATGGGACTTACCGGTTTGGTGAATAAATATGGTTGAAATCAGTGCGAAGCGAGCATCATCCGTTGTAGTGGAGTGTGTTGATAGGTGTAATTAAAAAACGGCGTGAGGATGGATGAAAACCACAAAGCCGGTTCACGAGGTTCCCCCTCCCGCTCTCTCTTTCTCTCTCTTTCTCTCTCTCTCTCTCTCTCTGGCTCCTCTGTGTGTCTCTGTCTGTGTGTATGAGTGTGTGTGTGGAAAAAGAAAAAAAAGAAGACATAAACACTGAAGTGGCTCTGTGAGCTCACAGTGCGTCACCGCTGCAAGCTGAAACCCCCGTCACTGTGTATGTATACGTGTGTGTAAACCCCCTCTGTCGGCTGTTGTCTTTCCTCAGCAGGTGGCTTTGGCTCACAAGCTAACGCTAGTAACTCATAAGCTATAGATGTTATTGTATGGAGAGTCATCATAATGACCCCATAGGCTATATGGGCGCCCAAAGTGTCAAATAAATAACTTAAAATAGAAGAATAAAACATTATAAAAAGATAATGAAATAATATAATACAAAATAGTTGTTCCTTTGGTCTGAATGAGCTGACAGCCAATCACACACAGTGTTTGCCTCTGTTTTGAAGGTATTAGTAGGAAAAGCACAGGTGTTCCTTATAACATTAATCATTATTCTGCTCGGTTTAAGTGTCACATTAAGATGTGACAGTGTAACAGTGAGCCAGCATGCACAATACCAGGACCCTGAAGGTGAAGCAGCTAAAGGGACTTCAGCCATAATTCACTTCAGTATTTGGCCCTGTAATTCTCCTATTGTGGCGGGTCAGAATGTCATCAGTGAAAAAGGCCTGTTATGTACAACTGATTAACTATATGATGACCTACATACAGTTCATCAAACGTGGGCTACATACCAAGCCTTCGCGGGTTGCCTCTCGCAACACTCACAGGTGTGAGTCATTAAACTTTGACATTGAGAATCGTCCCTCTCATAACCTAAACAGAGGAAGCCAGTTAAATGGATGATTTGTTTAGTCTGTTAATCCATGCATACATTTCAGCAGTATTATTAACTTATTTGCTGAAATTTAACTTTCAATTATTCTTAGGATAACATACTCCTATACCAGGGTCTAGGCTAAGTATGTGTTTGAATCTAAACAGTCACTCCCAGTGTTGCCACATTGGGAGGTTTGTTTAAACTTCCTATTCCAATCATTGTTCTGTCATAGCTGTGTGATAAAAGACTTGCATGATTGGAAAAAAAAACAGGATTCAACATTCACTGTTTATATAGACAGTTTTTTTAGAGAATCACTTTAATTCTTATTATCATGGACCTTTGAAGATCATGTGTTTGACACTTACAGTACTATGCAAGATTAAAAAGTGACATGGCTTTTCTAAATTCAACTAATATTGTAAAATCTGACACCAGTGAATGAAGGAGATTTCCACTGGCCCATGCTCCTTCCTGTGGGATGAACCAGTGAGTCAGTGTCAGTCAGTGACTCACAATATCGACCAGTCACACTGCTTAGACACAGACGAATCTCTGTGCTGCTGTCTTTACGGACTCTCTCATTCATCACAGATCCTCACTGATTAGTACATTTGAATACTGTCTGTGAATGGAAGTGGGTTGTAACTTGTGTGTGTGTGTTCATGAGAGGGGAAGGGGTATTGTTTGTTTGTGTGTGTGTGTGTGTGTGTGTGTGTGTGTGTGTGTGTGTGTGTGTGTGTGTGTCCTGAATAGCCTGCATTCATACTGTTTTCCTCTATACACTGCAGGGCTATTATATCACTGTACACTTCACTCTGGATCAGTGGGTTAAAGTAAAATGAATAGTGGAGTGACACTGACGCGTGCTGGTAAACACCACATTGTAGGTGAGGACGGCGTCATATGAATAATTAATGAAAATCCTGGTCTTCAGCAGACTGCCTTGGCCTTCTTTTAGTATCCATTTTTAGGAGCACCACATGAAAGATCCAAGGTTGTTTCCACTCGATTTTAAAGAAATGACTGTGACTACATAAGGTTGTGTCTTACTTTGAGTTCTTGCAACCAGCAGTGACACTAGTTTAAGTTGGCAAAAGGAGGGCTGCAGCAAATGATTATCTCTCTTCTCAGTTAATTAGCTGATTTATTTTTACTTGTTTAATAGTCTATTCATAAAATAGTGGGAAAATACCCATCAAGTTAATCATCTTTGACTTCTTCTCAAAATATTTAAATAAATTGTTAAATAAAAAACAATGAATTATCAAAATTGTTCCCAAGTCATTTTCTTTTGATTGACTAATCAGTGATTCTACTAACAGTTTAAGCTCTTACTCCATTGCTCCCCATAGTCATGTTTTCTTCCACAGTACCTACATGTAAGTACCAGTAGGAACCATGAAGTTTTTTATTAGTACCGGATCCATGCAACAAAATTACACTGTAAATCATGAGCTGTGGTGTAAAGTGTCACCAAACTTAATTTGTTGTATATTGTAACTTTTAAGTGACCCACACCTCACCAGCTGAAGAAAGAAGAACAGGTACAAAATGGCACCAGTGAACTGATTTAATTACAAAGAGGAACCCACAGTGACAAAACAAGAACAGCTACTTACAGGAAGAAACTCTTGATAGACTTGATAGACTGTAACCATGACAACCGCAAGATGTCAACCAGAGCCAGAGATAAACAGAGTTATGATCAGGTGGTTGTTTTTCTTCCTGTTGACGTCTGTGACAGGGCAAACATCAACGTCACAAAACTCAATCTTTCAGTCAGCCTGAGCACAACAGAGGCCATCTTGTCTTCTTCTGGAAAGATCTATGACAGTTATAATTTAAACATGACTGACAGCGCATGCCAGAGGGAGGGGAAAAATACAAACAAAAACAAACCTTACACAAATATATAAAAATATGCCATTAGATTCATATCAACAATTGAGGACCGTGGGTGCACTATTTACAGAAAAAAAGGCAATTTATACCAATATTTACAACAATAAAGACTTTGTTCACATACGGGCACGAGGAGGTTGCTGGAAGTGATGATAGGATGAGTTTGACGCGATGGTGAAAATTGAGCATGAATCTTCTGTTTCTTGGCACACAACATGCTTTATTCTCTCAATCCTGGTCAAATTAGCATTGAGTTTTACTTCATATCTAATACGCAGTGTGTTTGCGTGTGTGTGTGTGCATGCTTGTATGAAGAGAGTCTAAGCTGATACACATGGGGTCAAAACCTACAATGCAACTGTTGAAAATATGATTATTCAGTCATTTTTACTTATGTGACTACTGAGGAAATGTAAAGTACAAAATATAAATGTTAAGTATATTCTTAAGGCAGATTTTTAAAGAAAATCGAACTTTCTGAATCAGCCGAATTAAGTTATTGACTCCAACTATGGCAACACTTTAAGAAAATCATGAATAGAGCTATCAAACTAAACAGTTTTCAGCCCAGGTCCAGGACTGGTCATGGAGCTATGACCCTCTTTTGCTGCTCAACTCCATTTTAGAAATGTGCTGGTACCAGCAGAAATAACACACAGATGTTTTACTGTTCACAGAAAATATACTAACTCCATTCTGCAGAGAGCTCTCCATTGCTCTACGCCCAGCATAGATATACAGCATGGGTAACTTGGCAGCTCTTGGCACTGAGAACACAAACATGAACTTTGCTGTGAATCATACGGAACATTAAAAACACTTACATTTGCTACCTTAACATTACGTAGACATAGTTTGACATTTTGGGTCATAATCATATTTGTTTTCTTGACAAGAGCAGGGTAAGATACCGCTTTCAAGTCTGTAAGGTAAATAAAAAGCTACCACCAGGAGACTGTTAGATTAGCTTAAACAACGCTCCAGGAAAGTCATTAGAGTCTGTCAGGAAATAGTAACAGTACAACCCCTCATAAAACTACAGTGTTGTTTTTACATTATGGGTTTTATGATGATTTATGATAATTAATTAGTTTTAAAGGTGTTGGTAGGTGGTTTTCACCTTGCTTTCTCCCCATTTCCAGTAGTTATATTGAGCGAAGCTAACCATATCCTGGCTGTAGCTAAACAATTATCAAACAAACATGAGTGGTATCAATCGTGTTATCTCTAGACAAGAAACCAAATGAGTGTATTTCCCAAACTCTTCCTTAAAGTTTGCTAAATTTCTCAAACTTTCCTCTGCTGTATTCTTCACATGCTACCACAGGCTAACTGGAATTTTGCCTCAATTGTGGGCAGAAAATCACAAACAAGCTCCTTTTTCCTTATACTACTTATAACAGAGCACTTATGGAGTGTCCACAGACACAGGTCGTTCGACTTTTACACTTTCAGAGGCAGAGAGCTCACTAGATAGTTAGCAGCTATCACAATGACCAGCTAATCCTCTTAACTGTTAGCTCTGCTCACAGTGGGAGAGTTAATCCTATGTGGATGCATTTGGAAGTGGGAAAGCTGAGGTGAAGTGCCCAGATGGCTGGTTAAGGTGCAATGAGGTTTTCTAAGCTTGGAGGGATCAAAGACAATCACTGCTTAGCCCCACAGCCTGAGGCTAGGGTGTGTGTGTGTGTGTGTGTGCAAGGACAAGTCAGAGTCATCCTTCTTTTCCACAGACATCTGCTGTGAGTCGAAGGAGAGTGTGTGTGTGTGTGTGTGTGTGTGTGTGTGTGTGTGTGTGTGTGTGTGTGTGTGTGTGTGTGTGTGTGTGTGTGTGTGTGTGTATGTGTGTGTGTGTGTATGTGTGTGTGTGTTAGTGTGTTAGTGTGTAACTGGCTTAACTTTTAGCCCTCTGAAGGCACGTGCTGGTGCTCAGCGTTTGTCCTTCTGACCTACTCTATCTTATGCACTCTCAACAATCAATACTGAAATCTGTGTTTGTGTGCATCTGTGCAATAGGGGTGTAACAAAACATGCTACAATTCATGTAACAAAAATGCCACAATACGCACCACTGAGCTGAAAAACAACTGAAATATTAAACAGATCTTAGCATTTGGCACCCAAACAGGCAATAGAGTGACTGTGTTCTCTGTCAGTCCAACAGCTGAGTTCAGAAACAATGTGAAAGTGAATTTTGGAATTGATTTGACAGCTGGATGATTTGCAGTCTGGTATGTTTTGTAG